AACATCTATATATTTATTTTTTTTCAAATTTGCCTAAACGTCGTACATGCAGTCTAATATCGCACAAAAAATGCATGAGATGGAGACATAATTTACTTTCTAGAGGAGAAAGTCTGCTCCGAAAAAACACTGAATTTCGTACGAATTCAGAAAGAAGGCACTATTGCTCATGAAAGGTTTCATCGACTTGATAACAGACTAAAACACATCTTCCTACGAAAAGGCATGAATGGATGAGAAAAACATCGATAAGATTTTGTTTAGAAAGGTCGCTGGGAAAAGTCGGCAAGACTTCTCCAGCTAAAGGTTTAGCAAGATCGATGCAGTCTCGGAGAATTTCGCTATGGTTGACAGCAGAACTCGCCCTGGTGCCTGAGAAGATGACAATTGGTGAGAGTAATTTTCCTTCAAGCTTTTGAGCGATAAATTCTTTGGGAAAGTCTCAGTGGCTGCCTGAATGAGACTCTCGAGCGCTTTAGCTAATAACTGAGCAGTTTTTTTGCATTTCTGTAGGTTGCTATCACACCATGGATCCAAACGCTTCGCGCCATTCCCGAAACTTTCAAAAATCGATGTGAAATCCATCCACCGCAGCGAAGGCCTGTTGAGGATTCTCAACAGCTCAATCAAGATAGCGGAGAAATCGTTTACAGGTGCAAACGTAAGAAGAGTATCGGCTGTTTGTAGAAAGCCTATCGCTTTTTCCAATGATCCTGTAATTGCAGATGCTGAAGTCGTTCGTGCGGTTGGTGCCGTGGACCACGTGGACGTTTCCACTCCAAACGGAGGATTCTGTTTGGAAAACGTAGCTGCAATAAAAGAAAGCAATGTATTCGGACAGAAATTTGCAGGGTGACGTTATTCCGTAAGAGTGGTTAGTGTTTTCCTCAAAAGGCACATTGCTACTGTCACGCTGTATGCATTTTTCTACTGAGCACTTACCAAGAATTTTGAGCGGTCGTAACTTCGTGATTAGGTACTCTCGCGTGTTCTCTGATAATGCGTTGAAATTCTCCACTACCCTAGAATGATCCTTAAAACGAAGGGCAAAGCAACAAAAATAGCGCACGACACTCACGTCTTTGTTTCTAAGGGTTGTGAGACTTCATTATGCCGCACACGTCCAGCGGTTCTCCACAGCTGAAATGAAGCGGAAATGGCCTCCATTAAAGGCGCCTGACAAACGATTTATTACTTACATGTTCAAAAAATCGTGCTGCATCAGAATCTCTCTTTTCTATTTCGAGGAAGGTTGTTCGAACATTCACCATCAGTAGATACAAGGAAGGATTCGATCTTTTCAGTTCCTTGTCATATGCCAACTACATGAAACAGTAGATTCTATCTGGATAACTCACGAGTTCAAATCACACTTATTAATTGTTCCATACATCCTACAAATTTTTTGAAAAGTGATGCCCGTCCTGATAAGCGATGTTAAGGAATTTTACATAAAAATCCATTTAAGTTCACTCACCAGGGAATAGTTTCCAATTTATGTTGACTTCTTATGGAGACTTGGGTTCATCTATGAAATCATAAGTCTTGGTCACTTATGTGCAGATTAGAAGTTCTAGGCGATTTTTCCACAAAATTCTCAAAGCGATTTTTCCACAAAATTCTCAAGTGCGGACGGATTTCCTGGGATTCCTTACTATTAGCGAGGGAGATTTTCCATGTTGTTACCGAATGTCTCGGCTGATTGGGATCACAAAACCTGGAAATGCTCTGTAAGTGTGCAAGGAATTAAAATTCTACTCTTCGATCAGGACCATCATTATGTGTAGGGGGGGGCACATCACGCGGCCAAGGGAGAGTCCGTGATGCTCATGGCACGTCTGCCGTTGGGATCCTTACAATCAGCGGGGGGTTGTAATTGGTTGTTGGAGAAAGAGCAGTGGTTTTGCCGTCCAGAAAAGAGAGCTCACTTGTTCCCTTGTTATCACGCAATTCAACAAGTGTTGGTTCTCTCATCAAATTCAAGAATCAAATCTGTGAAAATGCAAATCACTTGAACTCGTCCAATCTATGGATAGTCAAAATGCAAGCCGCTTATCGAAATCAAGAGCAGCCAGTGGACACCTCGTCATCCGGGCAGTTGATTAGGGCGGTCGTCAACGGGCCGCAGCGCGTGCCAGGAACTATTTGCTTTTTCCAGGCTAATTTAGTCATTTTTCCACCTTGTGAAGATAAGGAGCTGCTAATCTGGGAAAA